TCGAAATGCCAAGAAGTGAATAGTAGTAGTAGAACAATTTAAATATTTGTAACATCATTAAAGAAAAAAATCATTAAGATGACACAGATATTTTGGATAGAAAGAAATCAAAGAAGGATAATTATGTGCATGAATATGAATATTGAATAAATACATACATACATACATACATACATACATACATACATACATACATACATACATACATACATACATACATACATACATACATACATACATACATACATACATACATACATACATACATACGTACATGAATAATGGGTATGAGTCTTTACTTTAATCACGATGAAGATAATGTCAAAAACAAAAAAGTAAAGATGACCGGGCGGGCTACCAACGGAATTTAAAAGGCAAGATTTAAATAAATATAAGATAAACTATTTACACACTTTAAGCGCTCCAGTGGTAGTATTTAACATGGCCAATTTACACATTATAGTATAACACATACACCCATAAAATAAATGAGTGAACACATACATACATATTTTAAGTAAATGTGCATGTGTTTGGTTATATGTATAAAAAAGTCCTGATAATATATACAATTGAATATGTATGTTTTTTCAAGTATCCTTCCAACTGTTGCTTTTTTTCATTGACTTGCTGTTGTTGTAGATGATGCCACTGAAGATGATGGCGCAACAGTATAAAAGCCCAAATAATGTACAGGATTATTTTAGTCGTTGCGTGAAATTCACTTAGAACGTTTGTTGGTTACTTGGATAGAATCATAGACAAAGGAGCAATTATTAACAAAAAAAGTAATAAAAGTGAAAATTAAATAAAATGAGTGCTTCGGGTAAAAGTTTATTGGGCTTGTGGCTCTATCGAAGTGGCGAACAAGAATGGGCTGTTAAACAAGGCAGTCCATTGCATAAACAACGTTCAAGTAGTAAGGATAGTTCTGGAAGTCCTGCTAGTATTGTAAGAATAAACAAGTTTAATGTTTCCCAAGGATTTTAAAAGAAAATAATAATTGTGTTGTCTTAGGATAAATCTGGCTTAAGTGTTAAAAATAAAGAAAATCCGGTGGTGAATGAGGAATTTTTCCAATATGGTGCTGTTGGCGATAGAGTTTCGATAATTTTCACTCTAAAGAATCAAGTGGGTAATTTGGCTCGAGCTTTGCAGGTTTTTCAAGAGCTGGGCATAAATGTTTTACATTTGGAATTGTCACCTTTGGAGAGTGCTACGAATCAGGTGTGTGCAACTTTTGGGCTATAGATTTTGTTTAGCCGTTTTATTTGTATTCGAAATTAGATCAACGGGGAAATAAAGGCCATGAATCCGAGAATTGTAGGTTGGAAATTCCGATTGAGATTATATGCCTTCTTCTTTGACTTTCAGCATCGTTCAGTCCTCGGGTCGACGATTGACGCTTAATAAAACAAAAAATAGCACCTTTATTCCGTTGTAGCTCATATCTGAATTGGAGATATTGATATTATCAAAAGGATATAATGAATTCAGTGCGCTCCTTTATATGGAATTATCCGATGCTCAGAAACTCATTCTTCTGAACGCAATTTCTTAAATTTATCAAATCATTGTTTCTAATGGTTGAAATATCTGATATAACATTGTTCCTTGGAAATGATCTAGAAAGTATTCTATTATTTCAGCATATTCGCTGTATTCTCTGTGATAGTCAGATTCCGCTTGCCGATCATAGTCCTAGATATCCAGAGAGAATTGGATGTTCAAAAAACGAATTAACGACAAATTACGGCATTCGAAATCGATGAAAATTTCCATTTAAATACTATAGAGATTTCGCTTGACATCGAATGCCGCAATTAGAACTCTGAAAAGCATTTCTGAATAACTTTATGATCAGATAAAGGGGTTTTCATTAAGATTTATGTATTCTATTCCGAATTCTTTCATAATTTACAATTTTATTTTCAAAGTTTTCATTACGTTGAGCAACATACTCGTTTAATCATCCAGTCTTCGGATCGACGATTAACGCTTAATTATTAGTGTTTTAATCTGAGGGTGAAAGGAAGTTGAAGATATATAACTAGGCCACTGTCGGGCCTGTTCTGTACTTCTTTATATGGAAGTATTGGTGAAGAAAATTACTTTCAAAAAGCAATTACCCTTCGATGCTCTGAAACTTTATCTCCTGGTCGCAGTTCCAAATATCTGTATTTGTCAGATTCCGCTTGTCTGGTAGGGTCCACAGTCCTGAATATTCAATGAGAAATGGACGTTCAAAAAATGAATTAACGGCAAATTACGGCATATCGATGGAAATTCCCATTAAAATACTATTTAAACTTCGATTGATATCAAATTCCGTAAAAGGACTCTGAAAAGCATTTCTGAATATTACGACCAGATGAAGGGGTTTTCATTAAGAGTGATTCATTTTTTTTAAATTTCTTGAATAGGAGTGAAATTGGCCTAGAAATTCTTTCACAATTTTCAAAGTTATTGTTTCGCAAGATTCGGTTGGATTCGGATGGACGAACGTGCGATTTAACCTCTTCAGAATTTTTTCTTTTATCGCCGTAGACATCGAACTTTAGAGGAGTTTAACACCAACATAGTGAACGCGAAATTTTAAGTGTTTTGGATGATTTGTTGAGTCATGAAGATTTGGTCTATAGTTTTCCCTTATTGAATATTCAATTTTCAGAAACGCAATAAATTTATCAGTATTTCCAGAAATCCAAAAAGTTTTACATTCATTTCGGACTCTTAACAAATAATACCAATAATTTAAGGGACCAATAATCTCGAATAGTTTTGAAAATCTTTATTAGATTTCCAACAACTAAAAAACTATAAGTTATATAGGGTCTTCAAAAGAAGCCTTAGAAACTATGTCTAACTAAATCGAAATTAGAATTGGAAATTAAAACCAATTAGATGCCTTAATTTCCCGTTGATCTGGTACGAATAAAAAATTGTGAGAAAATATTAAATTTTTATAAAATATAAACCCAGGCTGATGTGTTAGTGGATGTGGAATGTGATCAAAAGCGTTTGGATCAGGTGTTGCAAATGCTAAATCGGGAGGTACATTCGGTAAACTATACATCGGTGGATAAAAATGCAATAGTAAGGGCGCCATCTTTATCGGCCTGCTCTAGTTTTGGTGTGTACTTGTTAGACTTTTCGCTAAAAATATTTTACTATATAGTTTTTGTTCTTGTTTCTCAAAAGATTTCGGTGAAATGGTTTGGTTTCCACGCAAAATCTCCGATTTAGATAAGGCACAAAATGTTTTAATGTATGGCTCTGAGTTAGATGCTGATCATCCTGGTTTTAAGGATCCCGTTTATCGCAAAAGAAGAGAGAAGTTTTATACCATAGCTATGAATTTTAAACAGTAAGTAATTTGGGAAAAAGTTTTGAAAATTTCAAAAAATATATATATATATCTTATTAATTAAGTGGCAACCCAATACCACGTGTTGAATATACTCCCGAAGAGGTCAAAACTTGGTAAGTTTTATAATTTGGCGGAAGAGAAATAGTTTTAATTGTATATATTTAAAGGGGTACCGTGTTTCGTGAGCTGCATCGTTTGTATGTTAAATATGCTGTGCCCGAATATATGGAAAATTGGCCGGAATTGGTAAAATATTGTGGTTATAGGGAGGATAATGTACCTCAACTGCAGGATGTTAGTACTTTTCTAAAACGTAAAACTGGTTTCCAGTTAAGACCTGTAGCGGGTTATTTATCACCTAGAGATTTTCTTTCGGGTTTGGCATTTCGTGTTTTCCATTGTACCCAATATATAAGACATTCATCAGATCCATTTTATACTCCTGAACCGTAAGTTTTGATAAGATATAATAGTGTTAAAAATAACTAAAGTTCTCTTTTTTAAAAAGTGACTGCTGTCATGAATTATTGGGCCACATGCCTCTATTGGCCAATTCTAGTTTTGCTCAATTTTCCCAAGAAATTGGTTTAGCTTCTTTGGGCGCCTCCGATGCAGATATTGAGAAATTGGCAACGGTGGGTAAAAGTCCGATTAGAGTGAGGTTATTTTAAACCCTTTTTGAATTTCAGCTTTATTTCTTTACTGTTGAGTTTGGTTTATGTCATCAACCCGATAATAGTTTTAAGGTTTATGGCGCTGGCTTGTTAAGTTCCGTGGCTGAACTGCAGCATGCCATTGCCGCTAAAGAGAAGATTAAAAAATTTGATCCCGAAATCACTTGTAAAGAAGAATGTATTATAACTTCTTATCAAAATGCTTACTATTATACCGACTCTTTTGAAGAGGCCAAAGAGCAAATGAGGTGAGTACCTGATCCAGCAATTGAGTATCTTTAAACAATTTTGATTCTTCCAGATTATTTGCCGAAAGCATACAACGTCCATTTGGTGTACGCTATAACCCCTATACCCAAAGCGTTGAGGTACTATCGAATGCCCAGAAAATAACAGCGGTGGTTAGTGAACTCAAAGGGGACTTGAGTATCGTTTGCTCAGCCTTGCGTAAGATATCGGCAACCGATGAGAATTTAGATGTTGAAAGTATTGCCCATATGCTGCAGACAACTTTGAATGTTAGAGGTGGAGATAAAAGTCCCAACAGTGCTATAAGCCCCGATAATTCAGATACTTCACAACATTCCATAGTGGAGAATGGAGAACAACAGTAAATAATCCAAGGACAAATGTTAAGGACCACGATTTACAAATAAATGCAACATGTTTAGGGACCAATATGTAATATTTAGAAAAAATATTTTGTAGTTTTAATTTTTTTGGAATTTATCCACTCTATAACACATATTTATGTACCAGTACTTGTATGGATCCAGTATATATTGTAATAACTCCAAAATCAAATTTTAAAATTATTAAAGCCACTTTTATTTAAGTAAATCTATATTAATATTGGCTTAAAATTAATTAATAACAAGTCATATTCTATTTAAATTGCTTAAACAAAAAACACACAAATTATTAAATGCTTCTTTAAATGTCTAACTAGTTGAGTATTGAATTCTAGTTAAGGAAATCGTTTTAATTTTTAATATTTATTTATATAAAACATCACAGTCACTGCTTATAACAAACGTGCGATAGAGTAAATTAGAGGAACATTGTATGAAATAGTTGGGTATAGTCCATAGACTAAAGGCACTCCATTGCGGCCTTAAACGTTTCTTTAGGCTACTCAACACACGAAATACACTGAATTTATGATACCAACAGTGTTTTAGGCTGGTTTTATTCTCGCTTATTTCGAGACGTTGCACTTTTTTCGTTGCCTGTTGTTGGGGAAATTTTTCTTTCATTTCAACGCGTGGTGCGATTTGTATTTGATCTACTGTTTCACATATATCCTCGTTACTCAATAGAATACCCGCAACAATATACATTAATTTGAAATATCTGTAAGAAAATCTAAAAATAGGTTAAAAAAAGTTTTGGGTTTATATAATGTTGGAGTACTTTAAAGTAGTCCAAACTTTTTTTCACGTTAATTACAATTATAGAAGAGGATATCTTATATATATCGACCAATTGTCTACATTCGATAAATGGAAGACATTATTACACGGTGGAGAATCTTTGGGACCATTAATTAAGAAGACTACTTAAAGGACATCGGACGTGTACCATACCAGACAAAGAATTTGTTGGGAACTTTGGGACACTGAATCTATATAGAATATCATGTTCAAGCGGAACGGTAGAGCCAATAATCGTATGAATCTGTTTCTACACAGATGAGTCTGAACTGGGACACAAAACGGGCATGTGGTTTGAACTGAAAATCCAGTAATGTACTACCTAATTATAACACTAACCAACAGTCAGAAGACGACTAAGGCGATAAGGTCAAATCTAAATGTTCCTTGAGATTCTTTGGAATCATTCAGTAAGAAGGATACTTAATAAACATCGGTCGTGTCCGATCGCATAACAGACACTGAATTTGTTGGGAACTAATAATCGTGGGAATCTCTTGATACACGGATGGCTCTGAACTGGGACACAAAACGGGCATGTGGTTCTAAACTGAAAATCTAGTAAGGTACTACCTTCTTAATTACAACTCTAACCAACATAGGTTAATATATTTATCAACAGTCAGAAGGCGACTAAGACGATAACGTCAAATCTAAATATTCCTTGAGATTCTTTGGAACTATTAAGTAAGAAGGCTACTTAATGGACATCGGACTTTGAATTTGTTAGGAGATTTATGACACTGATTCCAGGTAGAATAACATGTCTAAGCGGAACGGTAGAGCTAATTATATCTGTTGCTACACGGCTATGAAAGTCCGAATATAGTTGTTGTAAAGGAAGGTGAACTCAAGGATGCTAACCTAACCCAATAGTTCGGGGAAATCTTCGCTAGCTATTTAACCTACCACTTAGGGTTTCACCTAGCCAAACGACTAATCAGGTGAATAGCAATTTTAATAAGTGTTCGTCCTAGGAGAAGTAAATCGTCATTCTACAGTTTACAAAGAGACGGTCAGAATGCTAGCCCAAAAGAGTCAATAAATGGCAATAAAATTTTTCCTTTAAAGTTTCTGTTTAAGTATCTACTCTCTATATAGAGAGAGACAGTGAAGTGACATCTATCTCCGCTATTTCTTACAAAAGAGAAACTAAAGAGAGGACTATCTTCACTTTCGCTTTCAAAGAATACTTTCGTGATGTAAGACCTATTAGAGCCATTCAGGTGGTTAGACGTTAGTGGAAATTACTGTAATTTTCAAGTACATTGACTCTTTGTCAATTGTCGGATGCTCGACCAAAGCAGTCAGTACATGGTAATGTAGCTTTTCGCTTATGTTTTAGTATCTATTCTGTTGATTACTTGGGGATTGTGGGCTTATCGTCCACTTATCAGTCCTGAACCATTCTTTGGTAACCCACAAAGATGCGAATCGTAGGTGGAATTGGAATTTGCCCGCCACTGGGAAGCTGCAACAGGGCTTAGACAGACAAAGCGCTCAATTACGCTATTAAGGGGAAAATTCTAAAAGTTGCTATCGCTTTACAAAAGCGATCTCAGAATACTAACTGATGACTCTGAACTGGGATACAAAACGGGCATGTGGTTTGAACTGAAAATCCTGCATTAAAGATCCAAAACAGGGTCGCAGTGTTTAGGGCCCTCTCTAATCTAATATACTTGGAGATAGTAAAGTGATGATTATCTCTGCTTTAGCTTGAAAAGGGGACACTAAAGAATGGACTGTTTTGACTCTCGTTAACAAAGATTAAGTTTGTGAATTAGAGCCACCGAGGTGGTTAGACCTTAGAGGAAATGACTATAGTTTTGGAATGCATTGATTCTTTGTCGAATAGCAGGGAAGAGAGGGCGAGAGAATAATTATACTGTTGGTGGAAATACAAATATCGTATGAGGTAATCCTAATCAGAAGGCTCTTCAGAAGGACCAAGTGTGAGGTTTGTGTAATGGTAAATATTCTGAGTGGATACCCTGAATTATGGGCACAACTATACAAAATTGGACGAGCAGATTTTGACTTATATGAAAGTAAAACTCTGGAATACTTTCATTGTCTTTACCAGGCTTTCATTGAAATAAGATTCAAATATTTTGAGAGCGATATTACATCTCTCACGAACACTAACGGAAAATTTTAAGGAACTTCATCCAGAATACAGAGTTTCTGAACATTGGACAATCACTATATAAGATTTTTTCCACTAACATTTACCATGTAAAGGAGAGCACAACAGACCCGATACTGGTCTAGGTGTATTTTAAAAAACTTCGTACCGGAATTTTTGTTAATAAACATCGGAAATAGTAGAGTACAAAACATGCCCAATAGTGATCTAGTTAGTTAGTTAGTTAGTTTGAAAGGAGGATGTATATACATCAAATCCGAAGAAATACACCTAGGCCTCTATCGGGCCTGTTGTGCGCTCCTTAACCAGTGCCTCAGGTGGGAATCGAACCCACCACCTCCGGTCTACCAGACTAGAACACTAACCACTAACCTACCGGAGGCCACAACCTACCGGAGGCCACAGTGATCTAGAAATATTTTTTTGATATCTCCTTCCATAATTGCAGTTACATAGTTCATATAAAAGTAAATTTTGGAAAACTCTAAGAGGTTCCATTTTAATTAATAAAATCAATTAATCATTAACTTACCTGACGGTTCGTGACATCATTATATATTTTTGGGGTATAATTGTTTTAAACGTTAAATTTTTGACGTAGAGTCTAAAGTAAGAATGAAATAAAAAAAATTGCAATTATTAATATATATTTTATATAGAATTTGGTGATAATAGAAATACATGTGTATTAGGAGGGTCTCAACAAAATTAAAATTAATTGTTCCATTCTTTAAACTTTGATTTTATATATTTATCAGTTAGTGGGAAAGATCATAAACGAGGTTTTTCTTTTCCTTTCCCTTCAGATTCATAATTAAAAATGTATTTGTTGTTTGGGACTGTAATAAATTCATGTTGTCATTACATAAAACGTCATAGAAGGACTAGTCAATTTTGACTAAACATTGCCCAGGGTACAAACATGAATTCTCTTCTAAAATGAGCGTCAATATATAGTTTTACGTTAACTTGCACTAATACATTGTTGATAAATTTAACTCTCATTTACAATGTTCTCTTTCTGCCCATCACAGACATAGGCTTATCCATCTCCTAAATATTGCAAATCTGAACAAATGGCCTTTTCTTAATAAAAGTATTTTGTAAAATTTTACTTTTTTTAATCCAAACAATGAACACTTTCCTAATGCTATATAATTTTAATAGACAATATTAGAATCGAAATAGGTTTTTGTCTAATATTTTAAAATGTACATGCGTTTTGCAAAAAAATTGATAACAATTATTAAATTAACTAGGTACACAAACAACAAATATTTTTTTAAACAAATCTAAAGAAAAAATAAATAATCTATGTATCTGTGAGATTTATTTTTAAAAACATTTTTACACAATTACTCTCATAATGCAAATATTATTTATTATTATTCTAATAAAAAAAAAAACACGCTTACGCCGAGAGGAAGTTGGTTGAATGATGATGAATGGACTGCAATAATAACAAAAACAAAAAATTCTAAACTTAAAACGGCCGTCTACACATTTGCCCTTGGTTCTATACTTTTCGTTTAGTTTTGTTTTTTTTTAATTTTTTGTACTTCGCTCTGATTCTCTTTCTAATTCTTTAAATCCCGATAAAGTTAATCGCACACACTTTTTTTGGCTTTTTCGTATTGATTTACTGGATGTTCATTCGTTGTGTACTCTCAAAGTATTTAAATTAGACTGATGAGATCATATTATTGAACAAAAGAAAAATGTCTAAATATTTTGGTACTTATTGAAAGATCATCATATTGCATGTCTCCCGATTTGTTGATTTCAAGACGATCAGTTCAAGTGATAAGAAAGATTGTTTTCAAATGGTGGCTACTGAAATAACTAATTCAAACAGACAAAAAATAAAAGTTTTGTGAATTAAATATTCTAATAGTTACACTGATACCTCGTTGTTCGATCTTGTAAACGATAGTCAGTATCTAAGGCAACAGAAATTAACAAGACTTCACTTCCACTCCGGAACGAACCGACTCATACTCGGCTAAAGATTGTCAAACCAGCAACAGCTGTATCAAAAGAAAGTTTTTTCCCCAGGAATGAACTGTTACAACAACAACAAAACTTTCGATTCGAAAACGACTATAGTCTAGTCTATAGTCTAGTCTATGGTCTAGTCTATAGTCTAGTCTATAGTCTAGTCTATAGTCTAGTCTATGGTCTAGTCCAGCGGTTCCCACCGATTTTTACTTCGCGGACCCCTTGAAGAACTTATTTAATTTCGCGGACCCCCATACATATTTTGATATTCTATTGTTCTAAATAATTGTCCATCCGAAAATTGACCTAGTCCATTAATCCCTAGGTCTAATAAATGTAGAGATGTCATATCTATAAAATATTCCCGTACATTGAGAATATATAATATTTCAGATAGGTTTTCAATTGCATGTTTTAAAGATACAAGGACTTCTTTGTTGATATGTTAACATGATGTTTAATTTTATGATCGTGAGATCTTTCATGTTCATTTTTCTTCAAGGTAGCGAAAAGGTTTCTTTATCAAATATTGTCACATGTGCTTAAGGAGTCACGTTTCAAAAATTTGTTGCGATTGCAAAGGGTGAACTGAGTAAGTGAGCTAAGTTTTCGGGAAAATAATATAAGAAAGTTGGACTTCTTCTATGTTGTTGCGGAATGCGTTATCCGCATAATATATGATTTGAACTCTTTGTTAAAGTACTGTGAATTTGGAACTTAAATTTGAATTTTAAAATACCAACGAATTATTTTACTTCATGGTTTTTGGCTACATATTTACGCGAAACGCTATGGATTTTCTGATGTTAATTTAATAATATGTATTGGTCGACAAAATCAAGTTAAAATCTGTGTATCACGTCGGATTGGAATATTTATAAAGAGATGCATAAAGAGTCACCTCTGTTTTGAAAATATATAATTTTAGTCCTTTCAAACAAGAACACTTTTGCTTACAATTTGATAAACTTAAATCTATAATAAGCTTGTCTTTGAATTGAACTTCATACTCCGGAATTAATTTAATTGTAAGGCAGAGTATTATTTGTCTGAAATAAAAACCATTATTTCAGTACATATACAGGAAATAAAAATTACAAATCACGCAATACTTTACTTTATGAAAGTTATACAATAAATTTGTATGGCCTAGCTTCTTCCTGATAAACAACCGAAAAAATAAAATTCAAAAAGTCACCAAAAAATTTAGGATTATTGCACAAAAATTGGAGATATTTGTACATACATATAAAAGAATATTGTTTATTCATGTTTTTTTCGTTCGTCTTCGCGGACCCCCTAGGATTTTACTACGGACCACTAGGGGTCCGCGGACCCCCATTTGGGAACCGTTGGTCTAGTCTATAGTCTAGTCTATAGTCTAGTCTATAGTCTAGTCTAGTCTAGTCTATAGTCTAGTCTATAGTCTAGTCTATAGTCTAGTCTATAGTCTAGTCTATAGTCTAGTCTATAGTCTAGTCTATAGTCTAGTCTATAGTCTAGTCTATAGTCTAGTCTATAGTCTAGTCTATAGTCTAGTCTATAGTCTAGTCTATAGTCTAGTCTATAGTCTAGTCTATAGTCTAGTCTATAGTCTAGTCTATAGTCTAGTCTATAGTATAGTCTATAGTCTAGTCTATAGTCTAGTCTATAGTCTAGTCTATAGTCTAGTCTATAGTCTAGTCTATAGTCTAGTCTATAGTCTAGTCTATAGTCTAGTCTATAGTCTAGTCTATAGTCTAGTCTATAGTCTAGTCTAGTCTAGTCTATAGTCTAGTCTATAGTCTAGTCTATAGTCTAGTCTATAGTCTAGTATAGTCTAGTCTATAGTCTAGTCTATAGTCTAGTCTATAGTCTAGTCTATAGTCTAGTCTATAGTCTAGTCTATAGTCTAGTCTATAGTCTAGTCTATAGTCTAGTCTATAGTCTAGTCTATAGTCTAGTCTATAGTCTAGTCTATAGTCTAGTCTATAGTCTAGTCTATAGTCTAGTCTATAGTCTAGTCTATAGTCTAGTCTATAGTCTAGTCTATAGTCTAGTCTATAGTCTAGTCTATAGTCTAGTCTATAGTCTAGTCTATAGTCTAGTCTATAGTCTAGTCTATAGTCTAGTCTATAGTCTAGTCTATAGTCTAGTCTATAGTCTAGTCTAGTCTAGTCTATAGTCTATAGTCTAGTCTATAGTCTAGTCTATAGTCTAGTCTATAGTCTAGTCTATAGTCTATAGTCTAGTCTATAGTCTAGTCTATAGTCTAGTCTATAGTCTAGTCTATAGTCTAGTCTATAGTCTAGTCTATAGTCTAGTCTATAGTCTAGTCTATAGTCTAGTCTATAGTCTAGTCTATAGTCTAGTCTATAGTCTAGTCTATAGTCTAGTCTATAGTCTAGTCTATAGTCTAGTCTATAGTCTAGTCTATAGTCTAGTCTATAGTCTAGTCTATAGTCTAGTCTATAGTCTAGTCTATAGTCTAGTCTATAGTCTAGTCTATAGTCTAGTCTATAGTCTAGTCTATAGTCTAGTCTAGTCTATAGTCTAGTCTATAGTCTAGTCTATAGTCTAGTCTATAGTCTAGTCTATAGTCTAGTCTATAGTCTAGTCTATAGTCTAGTCTATAGCTAGTCTATAGTCTATAGTCTAGTCTATAGTCTAGTCTATAGTCTAGTTATAGTCTAGTCTATAGTAGTCTATAGTCTAGTCTATAGTCTAGTCTATAGTCTAGTCTATAGTCTAGTCTATAGTCTAGTCTATAGTCTAGTCTATAGTCTAGTCTATAGTCTAGTCTATAGGTCTAGTCTATAGTCTAGTCTATAGTCTAGTCTATAGTCTAGTCTATAGTTCTAGTCTATAGTCTAGTCTATAGGTCTAGTCTATAGTCTAGTCTATAGTCTAGTATAGTCTAGTCTATAGTCTAGTCTATAGTCTAGTCTATAGTCTAGTCTATAGTCTAGTCTATAGTCTAGTCTATAGTCTAGTCTATAGTCTAGTCTATAGTCTAGTCTATAGTCTAGTCTATAGTCTAGTCTATAGTCTAGTCTATAGTCTAGTCTATAGTCTAGTCTATAGTCTAGTCTATAGTCTAGTCTATAGTCTAGTCTATAGTCTAGTCTATAGTCTAGTCTATAGTCTAGTCTATAGTCTAGTCTATAGTCTAGTCTATAGTCTAGTCTATAGTCTAGTCTATAGTCTAGTCTATAGTCTAGTCTATAGTCTAGTCTATAGTCTAGTATGTGCTGGGCCAAAATAAAGTCACCCTAGGGATACGCAACAGCCTAGGTCCCATAAAAACTACACGAGTTTGTATGAGGTGCACAGCCAAATCTGCTAAGTCGCAGTAACTCTCTCTCATAGCTACTTGAATGATGAGGTAGGTGACAGCGAATGACAATTTGTGAAAAATATAATTTCAATAAATGTCAATTTGTTTTATATGTGTTTTAACGTTCTGGAAAGACATCTGCTGTATTTACAATTTCTCAAAGAAAACGAGAGAAGAATTTAAATTGAAGAGCCTATATATAACGAAGCAATACGTTATTAATTTAGACTAACAGTCCAAAAACTTTTATGGTTCATGATAATGCTAATAAAACCGTTTTCATATTACACACTAGATGTCGCTCAAGTTTTTATTTTATTGAAGACACAAACCTTAAAGCCCTATATTATTATTCACAATAACTATTGTATAATTCACAATAATTTTTGAACTCATTAATTAATTCAGTTATTTTTTAGACTATTAACAGTTAAAGCAGGGCATTCACAGAGAAGATGGAAGACCGTTTCTTTCTTTTTCCTGTCTTTGCAACTGCGACAGTGTTCATTGAAGGGGAGCCCAAGCCGACTTGCATGTCTGCCTAGCACCCAGTGTCCAGTTATTACTGCTATCAACCTCGATATATCCCGTCTGCTCAGGTTTATAAGGTACCTTGTGTGTTTTTCATTGAAGGAGGGCCACAATAATTTGGCCACTTGTCATCACATCCCAGTACTAAACCATCATAGGGTCCTATGGAGGCCAGGAGATTGCTCACTTCGACAGGTGAAGCTGTCTTGTCATGTGCCATGTAGCATGAGGCAATCGTGAAGTTTCTGTAGTGTGATAACTCGACCTTTGTGACTGTTAGGTCATCTGAGCTAAGTTGCGTACAAAGAAAAATGTTAATGGATTTCTTGGCAATTAGACATGATCGTGGCTTACCATCAGTTTCCGTGATGGCAAGAATTAGGCATGTGTGACTATCGCCTTGTTCGGTACTGATGATGAACTAGTCATCCATATGTATCTTTGGATTCTGAAGTTTCAGAAATTCCAACATTTTTGGTGTCTAGGCTATTATTTTTGGTAACGAAATTCATTAGAATTTCTTCAGCTGGCATTAGCCTAAGACTTAAGCCATCCCATGCATCACTGATTTTAGCGATACATTTGCCAAGGAACTCCTTTGAGAATTCATCAAGACATTTGATAACCATGTATCTCCTGTAAATCGCACTGGAGTCAAAACGAGGTACCATATTATCCTTATTAGCGAGTAAGTGACTCATAACTAGCTCGGTTAATTTGGATTCAATGGCACCACATTCTGTTAGTACAGGGCTAATGGCATCACCTTTGTAGTTTGCCAGGGCCACCTTTTGCCACCTCCTTGAAGGGTCGACTACCTTTCTCCTTTTTGGCGATAAGACCTCTCTATGTTTCGGCTGCTTCTTTAGAAGTGCTGGGTAAGGTTTCCAAAAACTTTTGATACTGATCTACTACAGCTTGGTATATGATGCGATCTTCCACGTCTTGCTGATGTGGGGTATCATTTGCTGC